GGATCGTCCCCCATACTTGGACTTTGTCAAACAGCATGAGTAGCTTGGTTTGCGCCACTTGGTCTTACATGTAGGGCCTCATTTTAATCTTCACTACGAGGTGGGTATTATTATACCAATTTAAGGGATGAGGAAACAGAGGCTCAGGGAGGCTAGATACTGCTGATTTCCCCCCCAAGTTCTCACAGCTAGTAAGTGGTAGAGTCAAGAATCAACTCCAGATTTGTCTGACTCCAAAGGTCCTAGAACCACTGTGCTTCAAAAATACCATTAAAATACATTTTAAGTTCAAAATCAGCATTGGCCACATACACTTTCTCCACTAGCATCTACAGACATCTTTTTGATATTGTAAAAATCTCTAACTTGGACAGCAGCCACCAGTTAAATGAAGATGCAGCACTGGGTAGAAAACAGAATGATCAACGCAGGATCCAGCCTCTTAACTGGATGATGATTTATGGATACTGGCCAGCTGGTTAACTTTCCCTGGGACCTATGTATATTTGCTTCGATTATTATCATGACTAGCCTATGTCGGAGGGCACCAACTCGGAGGAAGTCGTAACCTGTGTTAACTGATCTCTAGCTCCTGAGAGCTCCTGGATGGCAAATTGATGTACACAGCAAGTGGCTTCACAGACTGGGGTAGAGCAAGGTCTGTGAGAGTGGGAAAATCCATATTAATGATATGCTATAAAACACTTTTTGTTAGTTATATATATTCCTTTACTTTCATTTCCCAAGAATAGCTCAGCTGTCAAAGCATTTCCAAGATTTCCATAGATTCGGCAAATACTGTGCGATCGAATTATTGCTCTGAGAGAAGTTGCAATTAAAACACATTAATCATTGTAACAAAGGATCCTTATTGAGGCTGACAAAGGTGGTGAAATCTGATGAATAATTAGTCTGGTTAATCTTTTAAAAGTGAATTAAACTGCTAACAAGTTAAATCACTATGATTTTCAAAATAAGCCTCCAGGGTGAGCAGAGAATGGGAATATTATCTTCATTTTTAAAAGATATTTTCTTCCTCATTCTTAATCTCTCGGCTTGCACTAGAGGCCCTGGGTTACAACAGTGGGGCCCTGAGGAGCAGCTGGGGGGAACAAGGCTGGTCAAGGTGGGAGGGCATGTTCTTCACTCCCCCGCCACCCCACAGTGATTTCTTAGTGTATCTAAAATGAACAGTAGATAGAAGAATCATGCATGGATGACCTTTAAATGTGATCCAGAACTAACATGGCACCTGCTCACCAGCCATTCTCAATGACCTAAAGTGGATCCATCACGTGGTTCTGATTTCATCCCCACCGTAAGCCAACCAACCATGACAATGGGGTCCTTCTACGATTTCCTCTTTTGCTCTTCTCTCCAGTCAGATGGCTTATTCTTCCAGACAACACCTCTTCTCTTTGTATTTCAATTACTCTGGAAGGTTTGCCACGCTCTGAAATAAACCAAGATGGACATTACAGACTGATAAGTCATGGGAAATGGACAGAATGGGACAATAATCATTTGGGCTAAAGTCTTTTTTTTTTTTTTAAAGATTTTTATTTATTTGACAGAGAGAGACAGCGAGAGAGGGAACACAAGCGGGGGGAGTGGCAGAGGGAGAAGCAGGCTTCCCGCCCAGCAGGGAGCCCGATGCGGGGCTCGATCCCAGGACCCTGGGATCATGACCGAGCGGAAGGCAGACGCTTAACGACTGAGCCACCCAGGTGCCCTGGGCTAAAGTCTTGACGTTGGCTGAGCCTCCACAATTCCGGGGAGTTCTAGGGGATGCTATGACGTGTTGTCCAGACCCCCTTCAGGAAGGAAGGACTTACTCCTCCAGCAGCAGGGAAAGCTGCTGGAATCTGGCCTTCGGCTGTTAGCCTTGAAAACTGCCCCTCCTCAACAAGGTCACACTTCCTTCCAGACGTAGCTGACATCCAATTGGCCAAATTACTTGGGGTCTTGACAAACAAACTGCTAAGAGAATAAGCAATACCCACAGAAAAATTAATATGTCCTGGGATCTCCCTAATCACTCTGGCAATTTCCAAGCTACTTTGATTATTCTTTAATCTCCTGGTGATGCCCTTGCCTCAGGTCACTGTGAGAGAAAGCCAAATTTAAATGGGCTTGCCATGAATCGGACCCATCTCTATCTTAGGCTTGAACCTAGGGAATCGTAACAGAACTGTAAAGTATCAAAGGAAAGTTTGGGAAGCAAGCTAAAACTGGACCTCAGAGAAAGGCGAAGAGGAATGGAGGTCACTTGGCCCAGGATAAGGGAAGTTCTGTTCACTCCCTTGCAACGCAAAAAGTCTATTATGAGGAAAGTGTTCAATTCTTTGACTTTCCATAGGAACAAACAAGATTGAAACAGAGAGGTCTTTACTAGGATTACCAACACTGAACATTGAAAACTTCAGAGAGATTAAATCAAACTAGTGTGTGTTTGTGTTCTATTTTTTATTTTCAGGATTGCCTTTAAAATATTTTATTTTGGGATGCCTGGGTGGCTCAGTCGGTTAAGCGTCTGCCTTTGACTCGGGTCATGATCTCAGGGCCCTAGGATCAAGCCCTGAGTTGGGCTCCCTGCTCAGTAGGGAGTCTGCTTCTCCCTCTCCTTCTGCCCCTCCCCATGCTCCTGCTCTCTCTCTCTCAAATAAATAAAACCTTAAAAAAAAAATATTTTGTTTTATTACTGTGTAACATACTCAGATGGTTGCAAAGTTAAATCTACAGAACAATGTATATTCAGAGAATTCTAACAATCCCTGATCCTCCCACCTTAATCCTTCCCTCTCCCACAGGAAGTAATTTTATGTTTTTACTTTGGTTTGGCCTATATTCCTTTTCAAAAAATATCTTTCTTCCTTTCTACTATTTCTCTTCAGTCTTTGTCTATTGTGCTTCTTCTGAGTTTTCCTAATTTAGTCTTTATTTCTGAAATAAATCTCTTTCCCTTTATTTCTAATTCTTTCCTGGGTCTATCACCTCATTTCCGAAATTTTCTCACTCCAAGTTGCCATTCTTTTAACTCTTCTATCATTTTCTCGATTTCTTTTAGCTTCTTTGAAGTATTAGGATATACTTTTCACCTTTTTTGTGACCATATTTTTCTAAGTGGTTGTAATTTGGGAGCGAAAATGCTTCCTTGATGCCCCAGCTTCAGTGACCTACATCTTCCCTCCTCTCTACAGGCCTCTACCCATCGCCAGGCTTTCCACCCCTCCCCACTCATCCAGGATCTTCCTCTACCAATTGCTGTCTTTTCTCCTTTTCTGTACTTTTAACCTCTCTCCCTACTGGAACTTTTCCTTCAGCATAGAAACATATTTGTATTTACCTATCTTTATTTTTTTTAAAGATTTATTTCTTTATTTATGAGAGAGAGAGAGCAAGTGGGGGTGGGGGTGCCCCTGTATCTACCTATCTTTAAAAACTATGATAAACTGCCCCCTTCCCACCCTATATCCCCCTTTAGCCATCTTCTTCGCTAATTCTTTTCTTAGCCAACCTTTTGCAAGGTTTATCGGTATTACTTCTTTTCCCAATTCCTCCTCAACCCATGCTGTCAACCCATGCCGTGTAGCCCATCTCTACACACCTCTGCTGAAACTCTTGCAAAGGTCCCCACTGACTTCCTTGTTGCTAAATCCAATGACTATTTTTCAGTTTTTATCTTATGGGACCCCTTTCTACTCTTGAACACAACTGACCATTTCCTCTTTCTACAAGTGCTCTCTTTTGCTAGTTCTCTTTCTCTGGTTTCTCCTTCCTTAGCCAATCACATACATTTGCTATTCTGTGGGGGAGGGGGGGCGGGGTTCTGTCCTTGGTCCTTGTCTCTTCCCTTTTGGCCCACTCTCCCTGGGTGATCTCATTCACTGCCTCAATTTCCACTACTACTCAAATACTTATAACTTCCTATTTACTTATTTATTTACTCACATTCCTCTTTATCTGAAAATGAACTTAAGATACCTTGGTAAAATATACATTGAAAAAATTAACAGAAAGTCTAGGCAAAGGGTGTGAAGCAAGGGAAGCAAACAAAGTAGAACATAAAATTTGGTTCTAAGATTTCCTGCAGTCAGTGCAAAAAGGAAAACAGAACATTGCATATGTTTCACAGTGTTCCTGAAATAAAAGTAAACAATTTGTTAAATAGAAGCACAAAATTTATGGTCCTGAGACATAAGCATTTTGTTCCATGGGTCCTCATAAAGGGGACACTGCACTGTGTTATGGAGCATCCTCACAGTATATCAGCAAATACTACATTTTTCTACAGGTTTTTAAGATTTATTTATTTTATTTGAGAGAGAGAGAGACAGTGTGTGTGTGTGTGTGTGTGTGTGCTTTGAGCACGGGGAGGGGCAGAGGGAGAGAACCTTCAAACAGACTCCCCAACATGGGGCTCGAACCTATGACCCATGAGATCATGACCTGAGCTGAAACCAAGAGTCGGCCACCCAACTGACTAAGCCACCCAGGTGCCCCTTTCTACAGGTTGTTTTAAAAAACTAATGCCTCTTGATATTGATGAATTAGATTTTTTTCAAAGTAAACATATGGATGGTCAAAACCATGTATCCCAGGTACTCTGGTTTATGACAACTAAGCCTTTAATTTTCAAACTTTCTCTAACAGCAGCCTTTGTTAAAAATGAAATCTCGCGAGGAGTTCCAACTCTTAAAACCAATCGAGCTGGATCAGATCTGGTTGAAAGGGAAAGCAAAGCCCTGTTCCTTCCATCTCCTGTCCCTCCCCACCCATCCTGGCTGCCTCTGAGGTTCAGCAGAACGCTTCTGGAAGCCATCATCCCAACTTAGATTGATGCGTAGATTCAGAGAATCGAGACTTGGATGAAGTGCTGTAGATCCCACTCCCCATCACTATTTTCCTAAGCTGAATTTTGGATCAGCACTGACTAAGGATGTAGGGAAACAGTTATTCATCAATGCAAATTAGTGCACCTATTCTGGAAGACAATCAGGCAATATCTATAAAAAGTAGTACTAAGTAGTAGTGAATTCAAGGTTATATTCCCAAACACATACAAGTATTCTAAGTTGCCATTTAAGTGCAGACCCATATGATGACATGATTGGCCAAGCTGAAGATAGGATCAGGATCCTCTTAGGCAGTGGTTCTCAAGCTTAAGCTGATATCAGAGTCACCTGGAGGATTGTTAAAACATAGATTGATATAATCCAATCCCAGAATTTCTGATTTAGTGGGCCTGGGAAGGAGCCTGAGAATCTGTATGTCTCACAAATTCCCAGGTAATCCTGTTGCTGCTAGTCTGGGGACCATGGCTTGAGAATCACTACCCTTTAGGAAATTTAAGGAAACCTAAAGTGGTCACCCCACCTATCCAGACAGGGCATCCATTTGCAGGTATATAATACTCCTCAAAATATAATTTTGAATATAGTGTAACCCAAATGTATGGAACAATCAAGGCATTCAAGTGATGTGATTTAACATGGCAACAACAAATGTTGTAAGTAAGAAAAAACTGAAAACCTCATTGTCACCTTGGCCTTAAAAATATACATTAGTGGGACGCCTGGGTGGCTCAGTCATTAAGAGTCTGCCTTCAGCTCAGGTTATGATCCCAGGGTCCCTGCTTGGCGGGAAGCCTGCTTCTCCCTCTCCCACTCCCCCTGCTTGTGTTCCCTCTCTTGCTGTCTCTCTCTCTGTCAAATCAATAATGTCATATAAATAAATAAAATCTTTAAAATTATATAACACACACACACACACACATTAGTAAAGAAGCCTAAAGGTCTAATTGAGTGAGACAACCTCCTGGTAGACAAAAACAAAGAGAAAAAAAAACAACAACAAAAAACCTAACATCTCATTGGTTTGATTTACTTTAATTCTGAGTGAGATTTCATGTTTATATTTCTTTTTCTGTGAACTATCTTTTGATGCATATCCTTTCCCTATTTTAATAGGATTATTCATCTTTTTCTTAACAATTTAACACAACCTTCTGTCAGCCATTGGGTTGCAAATATTTTTCAAGTTTGCTTTAACTTTGTGGTCATTTTTTAATTTACGTGTTTTGAAATTTGTTATATCCAAGCATATATATCAATCTTTTCCTTACTATCCAGTGATTTTACATTTTGAAACTTAGAAAGCTCAAAATCTTCTCTATTGCAAATCACATTTTTTAAATTTCACCTGTTTTCCTCTATCACTTTTTATGGATTTGTGTTTTTATGGTTAAATCTTTGACTCATCAGGATTTTACCTTGATAGAGTGATCTAGCTTTATTCTTTTCATCAACCACTAACCAGGTACCCTTAAGCTACTTACTAAATTATCTAATATAAAGCTGCCCTTCTAAAGAAAAGGAAAAGAGCCGTATTTCCCAGACTTCCCTGATGACAAGAATCCCCTAAGGCACATATTAAAATACAAGTTCCAGGGGC